GAGAAGTATAGACAGATAGATAGACCAGACGCAAGAGGGAGAGAGAGAGGGAAGACAGAGGGGAGAGGGCTTCGTGGGGGAGACGGAGAGGTGGAGGAGGAGCGGCAGGGAGAGGGAGGGAGGAGGAGGGAGGGAGAAGAGAGAGAGAGAGACAGAGAGTCTGAGGAGACGATGGGAGAGAGAGAGGAAGAGAGAGAAGAGGAGAGGAGAGAGAGAGAAGAGAGAGGAGAAGCGAGAGGAGAGGGATAAGAGAGATAGAGAGAGAGAGAGAGAGAGAGAGAGGGAAGAGAGAGAGAGAGAGGAGAGAGGAGAGAGGGGAGAAGAGGAGAGAGAGAGAGAGAGAGAGAGATGAGAGAGAGAGAGACATGAGATGGAGGATGAGGAGGATGAGAGAGAGAGTAGAGAGAAGAGAGAAGGAGGAGAGAGGAGAGAGAGGGGCGAGAGAGAGAGAGAGAGAGAGGGGGGAGAGAGAAGAGAGAGGCGAGAGCGAGAGAGGAGAGGTGGGGGAGAGAGAGAGAGAGGGGGTTGGGGGGAGGAGAGAGAGGGGGGGGGAGAGAGATAGGAGGTGTGGTGAGAGAGAGAGAGGGGTGGGGGAGAGAGAGAGAGGGGTGGGGGAGAGAGAGATGAATGGGGTGGGGGAGAGTTGAGAGAGGGGTGGAGGAGAGTGAGAGAGAGGGGGGTGGGGAGAGAGAGAGAGGGGGTTGGGGGAGAGGATGGACGATGAGAGGGGGTGGGGGAGAGAGAGGAGAGAGAAGGAGTGACGAGAGAGAAAGGAGAAGAGACGAGAGGGAGGAGGAGGGAGAGAGAGGGGGAGAGCATGAGAGAGAGAGAGAAGAGAGAGAGAGGAGAGAGAGAGAGGAGGAGAGAGAGGGAAGACGAGAGAGAGAGAGAGAGATGAGACGAGACGAGAAGAGAGAGAGAGAGAGAAGAGAGAGAAGAGAGAGACAGAGAGAGAGAGATGAGAGAAGAGAGACAGAGAGAGAGAGACAGAGATGAGAGAGACAGAAGAAGAGACAGAGAGAGAGAGACAGAGAGACAGGAGTAGACAGAGAGACAGAGGGAGACAAGAGAGAGAGATCAGAGAACAGAGGACAGATAGCAGATGGAGAGCGAGATGAGAGAGAGAAGAGAGAAGATAAAGACAAGAAGGATTTCTTTGGAAAGAAAAAGAGATAAAGAGAAAGCAGTAGCATAGAAGTAGAGATGAGTGAGAGGAAATAGACAGAGAGATTTAAAGACAAATTCCTAAATTTGCAGTTAACTTATTACAAAGCAAAAGTAGAATGATCACTGTGGTAAATATTAAAATCTTATATGAATGGAAATGAACCAAGATGCAATTTTCCCACATATTAAAATCACTCAGGCACCATGTAAGAACAGATATCTTATATAAACTCAACAAGTAGACCCTGACACCTGGAAAACCTTTGATAAAATAATAGTTTAAATTTTTTGAAATATACTGATTACAATAATAGAACAAATGTACAACACATTTATACTTCCAGTGACAAAATGTTCAAGGAATATTTACTTTCCCATTCTTAACAAAATGACTACTTTATACGGTATAAAAAATCTATATTAAAAACTTGGTGTGAGTAAAAACAAACTGTTGTGAAATACTGTGAACAGAAAATCTTTATACCAAAATATGAGCATGAAGTGCGAAGCCCATAGAACTGCATGATGTACAGGTCTTCGGACTCTGATATAAAATTGCGGGTTAACTTTTAACAGCAATATCAATTAGGGCATATGCACTACATACATCTATGAAAATATCATAGGCTTACTAACTAAAGTTGATAAGTGTTGTGGTATAATTTAAGTTCAAAGGTTACACGATAAATTAAAAAATCCATAAACCTCATTATCTTAAAGAATCTTGAAAATAAACAGTCCAGTAAGCTTCTTTGGGAGGCCACAGATGACTCTACATACCCCTAGTAAATTAGCATCAAGCTAAATATCTTTTCGGCTGTGCTGTTTCACGTCTGACTTAACTATATGCATTTATCATTCACAAGTATTTTTTGATGTTCTACTTTACACTTCAACTGATGACAAAACCCTACACAATTTAAACATAACACTGGTGCATTCTGAATGTCACTTCTCAAATGCTAATCTGATGGCATTCTTGGCAATACATTATTTCAGCTCTAGCTGCAAACTGAACAGAGTATGATGTCTCATGTTGGGCGTGACTATGGATATGCAGATAACAAACATTCCAGGGGATTGGGGTATGGCCTTGCCCCTTGTAGGAAACTGCTCCCCCCCACCAAGGAAGGGAAAATACTCTAGGGAAAAGGGGTCTGGGATCTTGATCCTGGTTGGCAATGTCTAGGGGATGAGGTCTGTGGGGTGCCCCTGTGTGGCTGACTGCTAGATTTAGCTTTTAAACATTTACCATATGCACACTATCTAATAAGTGATAATGTAAGTATTCTCTACAACTAACAAAGCTTCTCTAGATTAAGTTTTGGTATTA